GTTTTCTGCATTTTTGTGCTTCTATTGGTGATTTCACTGTCTTAAAATAGCCCCTCGAGTGTAGTGCTATCTACTGTTTCTCAGCACAAAGCTGTGATAAGCCTTATGGAGAAAATACATGTGTTCGATAAGCTTCAGTCAGGCATGAGTTTAGTGGTATTGGCTCTCAGTTCAATGATAATTAATAAACAATATACATTATATAAGCAAACCCACCGCCACTGAGTTGATTCTGACTCATAGTGACACCCATAGGGTTTCTAAGGCTTTAATTCTTTACAGAAGCAAACTGCTTCGTCTTTCTCCCACAGAGTGGGTTTGAACTGCTGACCTGTTGGTTAGCAACCCAAAGCCTCACCACAGCATCACCAAAGCACCATAGATTTTAAATAGATGTCTTTAAACAAAAACACACATAAAACAAGGTTATATATTAGTTGATGAAAATGTGACCTTCTGAGGCTTGCAAGAATCTAATCTTTAATATACTCTAGAAGTAATGGGTTCAGTATCGACTACTCTGTGTTCACAGCAACTTTATAGAACATAACTACTATGGATAATGAGAACTGATTGTGTATTTTCATATCTCAGTGTCTCTGAAAACTGGCATGTTTTCATGTATACATTTAATGCAGTACCTTATTTTATTTTCCCTCAAAAAATGGTTAGAAATCAAGTGTGTGTCCTTTCAGATTCTTTTTAAAAAAATAAGAAAAACTGTCAACAAAAATTCTATTTTAAATGTAACAAAATGTTTGCGCAAATGAGGTCATATGGAATATACTAGTAGTTCCTTAATCAAATTATTTCAGATTTGTAAAGGGCTATATAAATTGTAACATATATTTTGGTTCTCAATCAATTTCAGAAAGAGGGAAAGAAAGAAAAAAATAGAATTCCTATCTTAGGTTCACTTATTCTGAAATTTTATAGTTCCTACCTCCCACTGTTAATTATCTTTATATATACTTCCTCTCTACAACTAGTCTATAAAGACAGAAGACAAAAGCAATTATTTATTTTTATATATACATATCCACATACCAACACATATAGAAACTATATATCCATCTATATACATATATGGCTCTCTCTCCTCTCTGTTGTTATCTTGTGCTGTTAGGCAAATTCTCACTCATGGTAAACACATACACACACACAAATGGAGCCCTGGTGGCATAGTGGTTAAGTGCTTGGCTGTTAACCAAAAGGCCAATGGTTCAAACATACCAGCTGTTCCTCAGGAGAAAGATGAGGCAGTCTGCTTCCATAAAGACTACAGCCTTAGAAGCCCTACAAGGCAGTACTCCATTCTAGAGGGTTGTTATGAGCCAGCATCAACTCAATGGTACCACATACACAGAGAGAAAAAGCAAGAGAGCGAGCGCACATATAAGCATATCCATACATAGTGCCTAAGGCATTTGACTGCTAACTAGAAGGCTGGCGGTTCAAACCCACCAGCCACGCCTCGGAAGGAAGGTTGGGCAATCCTACTTCTGTAGTGATACTGCCTCGGAAACCCAAGGAGGGGTCGCTATGAGTCGACTCAATGGCACACAACAACAACAACATACATACATATATCCATTTATTTTCTGTGTGATGATTTGGGGGCTATGAATCCTCAAAAAGTTAGAATTAGGTTGGCAATACTGACAAATATAAATTCACAATACAGTTTCATAAATGCTATAATAAAAGTAAATTTTATATATAGGGAATTATGAAGACAATAGGCAAGGCACCTAACCCTTGCACAACTGTGTATGTGTACTACCAGTAAGGCTTCTGGAAGGAAGTAACTCCTACATTAAAACTTGAAAGAGGAGAAGGAGCAATGCCCCAGGAAATACTGATGGAGATTACCTATATCCACAGTGGCAGAAAAAATGAATTCTGCATGGTTAAGTAGTTAATAATACATAAGGCAGGCCTACCTCTTACTTTTCCTTTAAAGAAAGGAGAAGATGGTGGGGGAGACGAAAAGGCCAAGAGTAAATATAAGACATTAAACTGAAAAGACCAAAAGTAGTTTTAAATTAATGAATAGTATAGATGCTGTTTTTCATACATAAATCTGGGACCCAATACTTATTGGCTATGTGGTCTTTAGTAGGTACTTAAGTTTTCTAAGCCTCAGCTCACTCATCTGTAACCAAAGGAACCAACCCAAGGGGATAGTGTGAAGCTGAAATGGATAAAGACATGTTTATTGGTTAGTTGTCTATTATTAGTTTCCTTACTAGATTGTTAGCTCCAAAGGACACAGACCATGAATAACATCTTATACAACACTGTCTAGCAAGTCTTTTGCAAAATGAAGGCATATAACAGATGTTGAGTAAGTGTTGACAATCATTAAGTACTTTATTATGACAATTTCAACTACAACAATACTGTGACCTCAGTACAGCATCATAACAAGATCCACTACATTCTGAAGATATCAAAGACTGCTGACTGGTTCCTTACTGCAATGTAAAAAATGTAAAACATAAAATTAATTTTGGTGCCACCCCCACCAAAACTTTTACTAACAAGAAGAATCATAAAATCTCCCAAATCTGAACAAAAACAAAGATTAATAAAAGCACATCCTTGGAGATATTACATTACTATTTCCTAATGTAACTAATAGGAGTTCTGGTAGCTTAGTGCCTAAGGCACTTGACTGCTAACCAGAAGGCTGGAGGTTCAAACCGACTAGCCACTTCTCGAAGGAAGACCGGACAATTTACTTCCGTAGAGATGCGTTCTTGGAAACCCAAGCAGGGGTTTGCTGTCGGAATTGACTCAATGGCAGTGAGTCTGTTTTTTGGTTTAATTTAACTAATTACATAAAATTATTAAATCTAAAATGCAAGGAAAGTGTAAAATAAAATTTCCCTCTCTCCAATAAACCAACCAGTTGCCACTGAGTCAATTCCAATTCATGGTGACCCATGTGTGTCAGAGAACTGTGCTCCATAGGGTTTTTAATGGTTGATTTAAAAAAAAAAAAGATCTCTAGGCCTTTCTTCCAAGGCACCTATGAGTGGACTTGAACCTCTAACCTTCTGATTAGCAGCCAAATGTGTTAACCACTACACCACCCAAGGACTCCAGTGATTCTCAACCAGGATGATTTTGCTCCCCAGGGACCTCTGACAATACCTAGAGACATTTTTGATTGCCGTGACTGCAGGGATGCTACTGGCATCTAGTATTTAGAGGCCAGGGATACAGCCAAACAGTCTACAATGAAAAAGGACAGCTCCCATGACAAAGAATTATACAGTTCAAAATATCAATTAATGGTACTAACATTGACAGAGGGGGGAATAGAGAGTAGGAGAGTTGAAAGGTAGGCAGACTGCCTAAATACTTACAAGTAGGGTAGGTTTAACATTTTCAAAATACATGTTTGACTATTATACTGCAACTTGTTCCTTTTTACCAAATTTTGAATTTTCTAAGAGCGGCATAAAGAAACAATTCTTTTCTAATCTTTCCTAAATTAAGAGATGATTTCTCTGAAAATTATTTTATGTCACTGAAATATATGAAAACTTTCAATAGTTCTATAAAAGCTCATATATATAAAATATTTAATTTTAAGCCTTACAAATGAAGTTCTAATCTTTATCAAAGTAAAAATGCACAGCCACTTCATGCTGAGAAGAAAAAAAAGGTGCATGTGGCTTATAATTTCTATTATTTTATCAGTATAAGCAGTCCACAGGCTATGAACGTCCAACTTACATACAACCCGTAGTTATGAACCAATCCCTATAAAGCCTGTTATATTAAAAATTCAAGGCACACACAATGTTCCGTAAAACAAACAGGTGCTACCTTATGATGCACATTATTACTACTACTACTATATTATATTAAAGATGGTTCAGTATATGTAGAAGTGTTTAATTTTTTTATGCAGAGAAAGGTACACTATATATTAAGTCAAACATTTGACTGGTGTTAGATATGAACCATACCTAATTTACAAGTGACTTCCAAACAAATTTGACTTAATGTCAGACTTAGGAACCAAACTCATTCTTAATATGGGGACTGCTTATACATTGATTCTGAAAATACAAAGATATTTAAATGATGTGTTAATTTTACTCAATCATATATGCATGGTGGAAGGAACATGTGTCACTTTGTCATTTCACTGCCTTTTCTTTGGTACCCTGCTATTGCTTTATTAGTGATTCCCATCTCCCAGTATTTCTAATTCATGTTTTATAGCACAAGGGTATTAATATCTATTAAAAACTCTAAGTTGGTACCATATATAGTAAATGATACAATTAAATCTCGCTTATGGCAGTGAAAATTGTAAACATTGGTTACTACCAGAAATTAACATGGAATTACCACAGAGAGGTGGATCTAGATGGTAAGAGATCGCAAGTACTTGATGTTATTATAATGTATTTTTGAGTATCTTTTGAAATATAACAATCTTTGATCTTGTACTTAAACATAAGTTGTATCATCAAAATATAACAAATGGTTGACTTTTTTTTAAGAAAAAAATTAACCAATAAGTTTTAAAAGAGATACATTAAGAAACACAATCCATATATAGTTATGCTAGAGCCTCCTGGCTAAGGTAATTATTACAGAGGCTTTTTAAGCTAATTATTACATAGTAGAAAGGTGCCCTTTTGGGGGAAAAAAGGTTACCTTATTTGAAAAAAATCTCAGGGCTTATTTCTGTATTATTAGGAAAAAAAAATTATTTTGTATCAAAATTTAAGAGCAATTCCACAATTCTGTCATATGTTCAAAAACCAAAGTCTAAAAAGTGCGATGAAATTCCTATTTTTTGACAATCACTCAACTGTATACAAACAGTAAATTTAACAGATACAGTCCTTTAAAGATATCTGACAATATGAAAGATTCTTCCAAGTTGATATTTTACACATCTGAAAAGTCTAGGCAATTACTTGTGAATATGGTATTTGTCTACATAATTTAACAATTTACCAAGATCATACCTCTTCAATACCAGCTATATTATTCACAGCCAGTTTTTTAAGAGAACTCTGAAGCTTTTTGTCATCAGCTGTAGCTGTCCTATGTACCACCTTCTTCTTTCTGCGAGCTGTACCCTAAAAAATAACCAGACAGAAGTGTTAGCATGCCTGGCCTCTGGCAACTACAATCACGTACCTTCCTTATCTGCCACAATAACTAACTAAAATCCCCTGTTGCCTAAATAGTAACAATTAATGAGTCTGCTGAGATTTGTGACTATTGGACTAACCCAGATTTCAGAAGGTCAATACTAGTCAGTTCTTATTCTTAGCCAGTATTCAGCATTTATTTCAACACCACTTTCTGTTTCAAAATATTGTTTGCTAATAAAATAATTTATAACTTCAAGACAATTTAGTGTCTTAGTGCCTAAGGCATCTGACTGCTAACCAGAAGGCTGGAGGTTAAAACCCACCAGCCACTCCTTGAAAGGAAGGTTGGACAATCTACTTTTTTTTCTTAAAAGCTTGTTTTACATTCAACATAATGCGTACATTTAGTTTCATTCCCCATTCGCCATAACCCTAACCCAGTCTCCTCCCCTCCCTACCCTGCAACCCTCCCCCTGTGCCCCTCATATTTATGCACTCCTGTTTGTCCTGCATTTCCTCAATTTAAATGTTGGTCCTCTGGTGTCCCTTGGTCTACTGCTCTAAGGGATATACTACCATTGAATGTGTGGGTGCGGAATCCTGGGTTGAGTGGTCTGTGTGTACATCTTGGTAACTACTGGGCTGAGAGCCCACCCTTGGGGGTGAGTTTTATTCCAGGTGCCGAATGTGTTTCAGGGACATAGCATTGGGAGTCTCACCAGATTTCATCTGACCAGTAATTCTGGTCATTATTGAGTTTTTGGATTTTGTTCCACGATGTTTTCCCTCCCATTCTATCCAGGATCTCCAGATTTGATCCTTTCCTGAGTGACTGGCATTGGTAGCCGGGCACTATCTAGTTCTTCTGGTCTCAAGGGCCATCGTGTTCCAGGGCTGATTGCTTCTAAATGCCTTTTTTTTTTGAGTTCTTCTTCACTTCTGACGCTAGGAGACCATTAGCTGCACCTTAGATGGCTGCTTGAAAGCTTTTAAGACCCCAGTCACTACTCACCAATGTAGAATATGGAACAACGCTTTTATGAATTTTGTTGTGTCAATTGAGTCTGGTGTCCCCCAGTATTATGGTCCTGAGGCAGTAGATCTATTAGATCTTTCTCCCATAGTGTCTGTCTTCTATTTTTTCTGTAAGGACTGCAGGTATTTTGTATCACTGGTATCTGTGCAAAATTTGCCTCAGGTGAATCTATCCTTGATCTAGAATATACTTCTGTTCACTGACCCCCACCTGATCATCTCGGGTATTTATGTGTTTAGCTGTATAGCCTAATGTTTGGTGTTAACGGCAATATGGTATTGTGGACAGATTGGCTGGTATTACCATCTGTCTGAGCAATCTACTTCTGTAGTGATACTGCCTCGGAAACCCACGGAGGGGTCACTATGAGTCGGATTTGACTTGACGCAGTGTGTTGCATTTCATTGACAATTTTCAAACATTATAAGGAATGCTTTCTAATACCAAGAAAAAACCCAACCCAACCCACTACTGTTGAGTTGATTCCAACACACAGCAACCCTACAGGACAAAGCAAAACTGCCCTATACAGTTTCCAAGGCTATAAATCTTCATGGAATCAGACTGCCACAACCTCCTCCCGAGAACAGCCTGTGGGATAGAACTGCTGACTTTTCAGTTAGCAAACAAGTGCTTTAACCACTGTACCACCAAGGTTCCTTATGCTTTCTAAAGTCCCTGCCAATAATATGTCTAAAGGTATTTTAAAACTTGGGGGTGGGGGTGGGAAGGGCTTCCAAAAAAAATAAAAATAAAAATAAAAATAAACACCCAAACTCATTGCCATCAAGTCAATTCTGACTCATAGCGACCCCCTTTGGGTTTCTGAGGCAGTAAACCTTTACAGAAGTAGATTGCCCAGTCTTCCTTCCATGGAGTGGCTGGTAGATTTGAACCACCATCCTTCTGGTTAGCAGTCAAATGCCTTAGGCACTACTCCAAAACAATTAAACGCCTACTACATGAATGTTTTAAAGTCAGAAAACCCATGAATGAGTAAGATCAAGTTTAAGCTGCTTCAAGAAGCATACATTACAGTGGGAGGTCAAAGTTGATAAACATATAAAAAATGAGGTAATTTCAAATGTGAAATGGCTATTAAGAAAAAAATAGAACACAGTGATGAACAACTGAGCAGGGACAAAGCACTATTTGATTAGAATGTCCAGGGAAGGTCCCTCTGAAGGGATGACTATGAGCTGAGACTTCTGGAAAGATCTAGGATGATCTGAGCAGAGGGAACAAGAGTGAAAAAGCAAGACAGTATAGCCAGAACAAAACAAACAAGGGAAGAAGAGGAAATGAAACAGAGACAGGAGGAACGAGACCATATGGGCCTAGAATTCTGTGGGCAGGAGTTGGATTTTATTCTATTTGCAATAGGAAGCCATTGGACGGTTTTAAGCGTGAGAGTAACTTGATTTATGGTTTTAAATAAGGACTGTGGTTGCTGAATGGAAAATGGACTGTAAGACCAGTGAGTAGCCTACTGTAACAGTCATGGTTAGAGATGAGGATTGTGGCAGTGGAGAAGATGAGTGGTCAGATTCTGAGGTACATCAACAGTTTTTGAACATGGAGTGCATGTAGGGCATGAGGAAAAGAATCTGGGATGATTAAAAATTTTAGCCTGAGAAAATAGGTTGGAAGTTATATTATTTACTAAGATGAAAAAAGTTAATTTCTAAACTGGTATTCTGAAAGTCTAAATATATTTTCCCCTTGAAAAATTATTTGAAGTAATAAAGTTTCTGTATCAATTTATAAAAAATGTAATCTAAAGCAGAGCTGAAACACTATCTAAAGCAGCCTAAATCCAGAGGACTGAATCTTTCTGATATGATAGGAGTAAGGAAGAATGAATAGACTTCAGTCTCTGGGTGGCTTCTGGAAAGTGCATCAGCCTTACAGAATGCAAGCAGAGGCCTCAGCCTCAGCATCTCTGGTGGGTGGGAAAGAGAGCTCTGAGTCACTGTGCTGGAAGCAGAGGCTATGACAAGATCTAGTTGCTGAGATATGAATAGCAGTGACTACTTTTACAGATGGTCATTTATTTGTGAATTTTCCTGACTCAGTGGTAGCTTAACTGCTTGCTGAATACCTGAACTCAAATGATCTTCAGGCACCTCAAATTCAAATGTCTAAAAGTTTATCCATCCACCAATCTATTCTTCCTGCATTTTCTAAGTTTTATAACTGGTAGCACCACTATATACCACTATATCTGGTTTCTAAAACCAGATCATCCCTCTCCTTCATCTCCCATATCCCATCAATCACTGATTCAATTCCGAGACCTAAATATGTGTTCCACAATACTACAGCAATAGTTTCTTAACTGGTCTCTTCCACTTCAAACTTCTAGTGCATTCCATTTTCCACACTGCCAGCTATTATCTTTCTAAAATGACTGTCATTTCACTTCTTAAAACCTTTCAATAGTTGCCCATTGTTGTTGTTGTTATGTGCCGTCGAGTCAGACCTGACTCATAGCGACCCCTCCTTGGGTTTCCAAGGCGGTATCACTATGAAGTAGATCACCCAACCTTCCTTCCAATGAGGGGCTGGTGGGTTTGAACTACTGTGTATGATAAAGTCCAAACTCCTTAATATGGCAACCTTTCCACAGCCTAATCTCAAATTACCTGGTCCAGTTCCATTCCCATCATACACTCTAAACTCTAGCTCTACACCAAACTAAACAATTCATTCTATTTTAGTACTATGTTATCTCACTATGTGCCTCTGCATGTGTGGGAATAACAATCCTCTTTCCCTCTATCTTCTGTTATCCTCCCTCCTGTCTGCCTAGTGATAAATTCTTAGTTATCCTTTAAATCTTGGCTGAGTTATGACTTCCATGTCTCTACCAGGCAAGAGAACTTTGTACTTCACCCATTATAGCACTTACAGTATTATAACTGTGAGCACGTATCCCTTCCAAGCTGAGCTATAAAACCCTTGTTTATACTATGTGCCTGGGAATATAGTAGGTGCTTAAGAAACAGTAGTTAAATGAACAAATGCACCAATCCACCTAGTTGCAAATATCATAGTGATGTGCTTCATCAGCCTCTTTCAGGTATATTCTGTAGTTCCTGAATATTCCTAGTTTTTGCTTTGGCGTATTATGTTATATCTGATACTACAATATGGTTATTTGATTTACATGAATGTGCTAATATGATTTGAGAATCATAAAAGTGTATTACTATGAAAAAAGAAAGACTACTCACTTCTTCCCTGGCCTCACTCATGCTCCCAGGAGATCTAGTTATCATCAAAGTAAATGGCACAGTGGGACTGCTACAAAAAGTAGTGCCCTACATTCCTCATTCCCAAATCTGAAGTAATTACTACTGTCCCTTTCTCTAAGATTATACTGGACAGAGATAAGAATAGAATATTCTGCTTGAGCCTGGTGCCGGAACCGAAGGAAATCAAAGATTTTGGTGCTATAAATTAGTTTCTCCTTAGGCTTTAAGGTACCAGGAATTAGAATGTTCACAAGGTTTCAATGTATTTACCAACACAGAATAGGCAGAAACCTGGAAGGAACCTGCAATGAACAAAATATGCAATCAGCTTGAGCACTGCCAGTAAAACCTTTTGTAAATCTAAATGCTATAGTAGGTCTATGATGGTTATACATATCCAGTAAAGATGAAGTAACACTAATATCTGGTATGCCTTGCAGGTACATCTAACATAATAATACATCAGTCATAGCTGAGCTGACCCTGATTCACGGTGACTCCATGTGTTAGAGCACAACTGAGCTCCACAGGATTTTCAATGGCTGATTTTTCCTTCTGCTGAAGTGCCTCAGGGTGGACTTAAACCTCCAACATTTTGATTAGCAGCTGAGTGCATTAACTACTTGCACTATCCAGGGACTCCACCATATTAATAACTATCACTTATTTTGCATCCACTCTGTGCCAGATACCATGTTAGGTGTTTTATAAACACTAATCTTTAGAAGCATTCTATGTAGGCTTATTTCCATTTCGCAGATGGAAAAATGGAGGTTTAATGAAGTTTAGAAAACTGCTCATGTCACATAGCTAGCAGACATTAAGCGTTAGGATTCAAAGGTGGCTATTTCCATTGCACCAGTTAGAAAAGTCTTCTAGTTACTTATTTAGATCTAAACAAGTTATTTTCAAATTGGAATGTGGTTTGTTTTGATTATTGAAAATATCTTAGGCTTCCAATGACCACAAATCCAAAATACTACTACTATCTGGTAATCATACATTCTCCTATCAATTTTTCTTATGCCACACTCACCTTGCCCCCTATCCGGACCTGAGCTTGAAGTTTGGCTAACTTTTCTTGATTCATGCTGTTGGTAAATCTAGGGGGGGGGAAAAATAGATTAGTTAAAGTCACTGTTTTACCAAAATAAAGTTACTGTTTATGCGAATAGTACCTTCTGGTTTTTTGAGCTTGTAATATGCATCACCACAATAGTTATACTGCTTCTGTATTCTTAAATATTAACAACTTGTTCTAGCTGCATAAACCAGATACTGAAAGAATCAAATTTACATAATACTACAAGAGAGCTATGTACACAAGTAGAACATAAAATGGAATTCAAATTCACTTATTTGAAGATCTCTCCTTAAAAACATGATTCAGTACTTTGGCATTCAGTAAAGCCAAACCAATTATTAAATCTCTATAGCAAGTCAGTTTTTACCCCTGAAGATTACAGCAGAGAACTGTTACCAAATGTTATTAAGAAAACCTTCAAGTACACTTTTTTCTCCAAAATCACCTTATGTATCTCTTATAAACCATAAACAGAAGACCAAAAACAAAATACTCCGTTGAACAAAGAAATTCAGTAATAGCCTTCTAGCTGTCAAGATAATGAGGTAAGTAGTCAAATGCTCTATTCAAGGTCAGATAGTGGGTTAATAACAGGGAAAAAGAACCAGATTTCCAGACATTTAGTATTTCTGTAGTACTCTACACAGAGTTCATCCAGTGTCTTGCACTAATATAGTATGTCTTTCTTATCAAGACACTCTCACAGTATATAGGGCAAAAGAATTCACTGCACAATTTGACAAAAATATATCTGCTACAGTAATACTAAATTTTTTAGGGGAAGGGAAACTAAAAAATAGAGCAATCTTGATTTTGAAAATTCTAAGAACAATATAAAGTCAGGAATCCTAGTTCAGTTAGTGATAGTCCTACTAAACTTAAGAAAAAAAGTTCCTAACTTTATAATGGGATGTAACATTCCACACAATATAAACAAATAGAAGCCAATGTTAAATGTCTTGTTTTACTTGTTCTATGGATCAATATGCCATTACTGAGATGCAAAGGAGGGAGGAAATATGCAAAGGAGGGAGGAAATAAGCAACTAGTCTTGTTACCAAATCTTTTTGGCCAATTCTTTAACCCCTTTATACCCCTTATAATCATCAGTCAGATGAAAGAGATATTATTTCCTTTATTTGAGAGATGAGAAGAATCAAAAATAGTATGATTACTATACTGTGACACAGTACTTAGGCAGATCTAAGCTATATATATTTTTGCCTTAAGGCCAAATAAAGTCTGATTTCTAAATAACATTTAGAATTTATGACTCTTCAATCTGTGCTCAGCACTATATCACCATGCTCAAGCAGTTAAAAACCCGCTTTTATAAGTGTGATTACTGTGCACAACCATAAGTCTTAGCTGTACGCCAATGTCAGCTCTGCCAGAGATTTAATTTGCCCACGTAAACTCCAATCTCTGCACTCTAATATCCACAGAAAAAGATCTATATTCACTTTTCTCAAAGGCATGTGGCTATAAAGGTATAGTGAAGCAACAAAAAAGTCTAAGGAATTCCTTGCAAAAAAGAGGCTGAGTAAAAAATATCAGAACTAAGATATTTTTAGTTCTTAAAAATATCTTAACAACAAAGGCTAAACCCTTTGTTGTTATGCATGCATTTTGAAGTAACAATTCCCAAAAGATAGAGCTGGAAAGTCAAGACAGAGTCCTGACTTACATGAACATAAGCAAAACCAAAATTAACTCTTTAAGTCAATGTGCACATGAAAGGATAGATTCCATCCTGGGCCATCAAGGTAACAGAATTAAGAAAAATTATCCCCTAGGAAAATCTCAGAGAAAATGCATTTAGGGAGAATGGACACTCATGGGGAAAGGAGAGGAAGAAGGGTGGTCCTTTGTCTACTAGCAGGTTGGGGTGTGTACAGGTCAAGTAGGAAAGAGGATTGGATCCAGTCTAGAGAAGAGATAACAAGTTCAGAATCTGGAATAGACCTCAAAAATCTGCTGTTTTAGTTATCTATTCCTCAAACTTTACTGTGCACATCATTACTGTGTTAAACGTGAGGCCATCTTAAATAGCTGCTGGCACTAATGGGGTATATAGGCAAAACAGGAACAGTTCACCAACTCCCCCCTCAACACACACACAAAAAAAGGTTATTAAATAAGAAATGAAGGTTTCTGAAGGAAGAAGTAACTTCCTAAAACCACATGATTAGTGAGTTATTCCTGTGGATCCAAGGACCTTTTAGCCTTTTCCTCCAGGACTCAAGAAAGGATGTGAATAATGATGTTATAGTCAATATTTATTGAGTGCCTAAGTTCCAAGCACTGTGGTAGACACTTTCAAAATATGTTTACAAAGAGAAAATCATTTCAACATTTAGTTCCGGGTTTTTTATTATGTAGAGTTTTGAGAATAGCTCAGGCTTGGGTATCAGGAGAACCAGGCTAATTCTTTAACCCTTTGGAAAGTTATTTTACTTCTCTGAACTTGCTTCCCTTCTCTACTACAAAAGGTGCAACAGTACATAATTCACAGAGTTGTTTAAGGGTAAAGGTTAAAGGATCATGCACAGTGTATGGCTCACAGTAGACACTTGTACTCAATAACTGGATTGGTAACTATTGTTACCACTTGCGAGGAGACAATTATGGTATAGTGAAACGTGGGAACGGAAGTTAAAACCGCCATTCACTTTGTGACGCCAGGCTGTTGGTCAATCATCTATTTTCTGACTCAGGCAGCTGATGAAGATATAAAAATGGGCAAGGAAGTGTTTCTGGGAGGTGACGAGACTTGTAAACAAACGCTGCCATTATAAGATGAAGAAAGCTGCAACGAAGTTCGGTCCCAAGTGCTTGGGGGTGGGGGAGGGGTGCTAACCTCAGTTTCCCTATCTGTTGCTCTTAACGAACTCACTGGGGAGGTCAAATAAGATGACAAGACACAGGCTGTACAAAGCTCACGGCATTGTTGTGAATAACGAGAAGTAGCCGAACAGAGGCGGGAACCACTCGCCTCCTGGGTATGGATCGGGGCGGCAACAGCGCGGACCCGCTCGCCCTCAGAGGCGGCGGTGGTGCTGGGGACCTTCCCTCAGGTGCCGACCCCCAGCTGCGCCGCCGGTAACCTACAGGCCAAGCCAGCCGCCTCCGCCCCCACTTGGCGCGCCACGGCGGAAGTGGCAGCCCGAGAGGTTGGCGGGTGTCGGAAGAAGAGGGCGGGGGGAGACCGTGCGCAGCGGCCTATGGCCGTGGAGTGGCGGGACCGCCGGGGGTCTCACCTGAAGCAGGGAGGGTCCTCAAACACCAGCACGCGGCAAGAGCAAGATGGCTGCCTCAGCGAAGACAGAGAAAGACGTCGGCGGCGGCGGGAGTGGGGTCCACGTGACATAGCCGGGCCCGCCTCTCACTCACCATAGCGGCCTATCCCGGAGTTCATATATGAACTACAAAGACCAGCCTGCTCTGCGCCTCTCACTAGAGAGGCGGCAGGTGCTAGTGGCCGCGCTGCATACTGGAGCTTGCAGTTTTCCTTGGAAAGTTTCCCTTCCATTGTGTCTGTGCCTACAATCTGTAAAAAAACAAAACCAAACCCACTGCTGTGGAGTGGATTCAGACTCATAGCGACCCTATAGGACAGAGTAGAACTGTCCCATAGAGTTGCCATGGCTGTAAATTATTAGGGAAGCTGACTGCACATCTCCCAATGAGCGTCTGGTAGGTGCCAATTGCCAACCTTGAGATTTGCAGCTGAGCGCTTTAACCACAGCGCCACCAGGGCCCCCTACACTATGTAAGCAGCCTAATAAACGGGCTGGGTGTATCTTGTTTGGGTGTGTACTTTTGTTCAGTTACCTTTCACTATGCATTATGTATTGTTAAATTCAATTCGCCCCCTAAAGAAAGACGGAAAATTTCAACCTGTTTATTACGAAGCAGCCAAAAGAAAAACTGAGGAGAAATACTCAACCCACGAAGAATCTATAAGCAACAAACACATTTAACCAGAAGACTCTTCGCACTTTAAAATCTGCAATGACTTATGCCTTGGTTCCCTAGATTCATCTAGGTCAATTTTGGAATAAGAGGTCCCAAATTTGATTTTCTCGGAGCCTGCATCAGTTGGCGGCATCATTTCTGAGTGGAAGAACTGCGGTTGCAAGGAAAAATAAGTAAGGTACAGCGTTTTTCTTCTCCAGCAGGAAGGGGTATTCCTGCCAGGCACGAGACCCTGCATCGCAGAAAACCAGAGCAAGAACCTAAGAATGATATCAAGTTGTTTGAGAAGGTGGAAGAACCCTAGGGCTGACCCCGATCAAAGATTTACGTTTTGAATATTAAGTGCAGCAGTTCTGGGGGGAGGGGCTAGTGTGGCTGGTGTATGGAGCCGCAACTGTTGTCCCGAGTCTCCTCCTCTTGCCCCCGCCTTCTTCCACACTGTCTCAGCCACCTTTTCCTCACAGTCCCGGGACCTGGACTTTCAGAATCCATCAGAAGCAATTCGCGCTTGAGGGCAACTCCCGCATCTTTTCCTCCTACGTGATCTGCACCTTTAAACTTACTCCAGCCCAAACCGAACCCTAGAGGCACCACCCACATCCGTCTAACATCACTTCCTTCAGGGTTTGGGGGAAAGAAAAAAAATCTAGGAATGCGAGGTGTTGGATTGAAACGCTCTTGGAGAACGTTGCGGACCTTCGTCTAGGACTTCGACCCTGCGTCCTCTCCGCCAGGTGGCCCAGCGCACTTACCACCATGGAGCTGCGGTCACCTCTCGGGGCCACCTGTTTGCTGGGCTTGAGTTTCCTGCTCCTCGCCACCTCTTCTGATGGACACATTGGGCTTGGAAAGGGTCAGACCACGTTCTTAATCTTTATTGATCCTGGGCACCTGCCAGTATATAACTCACTTTTGCCATAAGGTGGTGACGCCTCGTTCTATCTCTTAGGCCACGCCAGGTTTCTTTTTATCTTTTTCAGCCACTCCAGGAGTTTGACGGAGATTTCTTGGGATAGGGAGTAGCGTATGGGGGAATGTTGAGATGGGCCAAGTTGTACTTAAGGCCATCCTAAATTTGGGGACAAAAAAAAAAAAAAAAAAAACCTGGTCCTTAAACTAGGAAAAACATGCTTGAGAGATCAACATAGTGCCTAGAACTTGGTAGGCCCTCAGGAAGGGGCACCTTCCTTTTTGAGAGAAAATGGGCCGTTGGGGACCTCCTTATGCAGGTTTGAAGATCCCCTTCCTCACCTCTTCCAGGATAAGCTTGGTCACTGCCTCCTCTTTTCCTTAGCGGGGTGGGGGGTGGGCAGGAGGACACGGGACAACAGAACTGGCCTGGGAGGCTGAGTCAGATGAGTGAGGAAGGGCCAGATCAAGAATAGAGGATCTGAGGTTAGAGTCACCAACAATTGTCTTTAGTATGGCGCAGCCAATGTGTCAGAAGAAAGTGAATTTTTTTTGAGGAGTGCTTAGATAGTGGTTCTGAATGGAAGGCAGGACCTCTGACTGTTGTTTGCTTCTCAGCTCTACCCCATTCCATCTGTATCTTCATTCTAAGCTTGATCATCTTTCTTCTCACCAAGTTTATCTTCGGTTGAAAGTTAAATTGGCTGCTCTGTGGACCTGGTTTTTGCATTTTTAAATGGTTGGATTGTGGCATGAACCCTTCCCTCCCAGTTTTTGTACTGTGTAGGGTGATTCTGCAGCAGTCTTCTGCTGTTTCTAGTTCTCTTTGATCTTATCCTTAGTGGGTGGTAAGATTGGTTGGACATTAAATGTTCCTGAATGCAGTCATTCCTTCATTCAGTAAATATTTTTGGAGCATGCACCCTATTCCAGGCACTGCCCCAGGTTCAGGGGATATAGTGAGCAGAATAGAAAAGGTCCCTGGTTACAGGGAGCTTATATTCAAGTTGGGGAGACGGAGTAGACAAGTGAACAAATTAGTAAACAAGATAATTTCAGCTAGGGATAAGTTCTGGGAAGAAAATGAAACTGATGGAGTAGAAGGGCTGAGGAATATGGGAGGCTGGCATAACTTGATTTAGGAAGGTCAGGGAAGGCGTCTTGGAGGAAGCGGTGTGTGTGTTTTCATCTCAAGGATGAAACTGCACAAAGAGTCATATTAGGCCAGAATGTCTTAAATAACTAAAATCCCATTTAAAACAGACTGCTGTGTATTTAGCATAAAATTATAAGGACTCTCCCTAAAATGGTTTGTTTTTCAGTTCTGAGAGAGGCAAAAGAGTATAGTGTTAGGAGTGTGGATTTAGGTCTGAGTTTGAATTTGTTACAGGAGCTCTGTGGCACTGTGGTTAAAGCAGTAGACTACTAATCAAAAGATCAGCGGTTCAAACCCACCAGCCTTTCTGTGAGAGAAAGATGAGGCACTCTGCTTCCTTAAAGATTTACAGCCTTGGGAATCCTGCAAGTCAGTTCCATTCTGTCCTAAAGGGTGGCTATGAGTCAGAATCCACTCAGTGGCAGTGGGTTTGGTTTTTTGGGTTTAAATTTGTTCTGCCCCTAACAAGGTGAATGGCCTTGGGCAAGTTACTCAAGCTCTCAAAGCCTCAGTTACTTATCTGTTAGTGGGCAGAATAATAACTCAGTCACTCAACAAATAATTTTCTCTTTCCAGTTACTGTGTTAGGTGTTGGCAATACTTTGGAGTCACATTGCCAGTATCTTTATTCCTTGCTACACTTAAAGCTCTGTGTGGTTGTTCCAGCTACCATTGCTGCATAATAAACCACTCCAAAACTTAGTGTTGTAAAGAAATCATTTCATGCTCATAATTCTGTGGGTCAGGAATTTGAACAAGGCACAGTGGGGAAGATTGTCTCTGTTTCATGCCTGGGCCCTCAGCTGAGCTGGTTATCTCTTCCCTCTCCATGTGGTCTTTATGCAAGGACTAGTTTGTGAAGGAGCCCTGGTAGTGTAATGGTTAAGTGCTTTGCTGCTAACCCAAAGTTTGGTGCAGAAGAAAAGACCTGGCCATCTGCTCCCGTAAAGACTATAGCTGGGAACCCCTATATGGGGCAGTTCTGTGAGTTGGAATTGACTTGGTGGCACACAACAATACAGTGTGGCAGCTACATTCCAAGAGAATGTCCTAAGAAAACAAGGCAGAAATAGAAATATACAGCATTTTTATCATCTAGCCTCACAAGTCATAGCATCGATTTTGCTGTACCCTATTGAGGCAGGTTGAAAGGAAAAAGGACATAATTCCCATCCCCACCACCAAACACACTTAATAGGAGCAGTGTCAAGGTGACATTGTAAGAAGAGTATGTGGGATGGGAACCATCTTTGGAAAGTATGGTTTGTAACAGTGAGCCATGACCATTTCTCTCTTGTTCATGCTCAGAAATACTTGTTAAGAGAACAAACCAAAACCAAACTCACTGCCCTCGAGTTGGACCTGACTCATGGCGACCCCTCCTTGGGTTTCTGAGGCAGTATCACTACGGAAGTAGATTGTCCAGTCTTCCTCCCGAGGAGTGGCTGGTGGGTTTGAACCACCAGCCTTCTGGTAGCAGTCAAATGCCCTAGGCACTACGCCACCAAATGAATGGTAAATATAGTAATTGTGATTCCTGACCTTTTGCAGCTTATAATTGATGAGATATAAAGACAAATAAGCAGGTAAATGCATGACAGTGTGATATGTACAGGAGTGCCTGTGGGGAGCAAATGGCTAAATGCTAGGGTACTAACTTAAAGGTTGGTGGTTTGAACTCACACAGAGATGCCTTGGAAAAAAGGTCTGGTGCTCTGCTTCCAAAAGGTACACCCATGACCTGAAAACACATGGTAGTACTCTAAACCACATTAGGTTACCATGAGTCAGAATTGACTGGTAACTAGTGGTGATATGTGCTGAGGGGAGAAATGCAGGAACACAGAGGAGAGCAACTTGAGACAAGAGGGCTGTGCTGTGAGGAGTAAATGAATAACTAGAAGTATTCAACATTGTGTCACATACTTAGAAAGCATTTGGTAAATGTTAACTATTACTGTTTCTTCCTATGGGAAAATACTTATTCCTAAAAGGAATTATTACTACTTTGTCCCGTCCCGTGGGACAGTCAACCTAGGACCTGGAGGAGGGGGTGGAAATGGAGGGGACAAGAGACGC